TTACGGATTATTGGGCCGCAAATTGACAATAAGTGAAATTGACAGAAAAGCGGTACTAATCACCGGATGTGGAAACGGTGAGGATTTTTGTAGTCGGAACGTTAATTGTGATGTTCGGAATAGTTCACGAATGGGATGATTTGAAGAAACAGACAAAGAATCATAAAAGAGTTTGAAAGAGAAGAAATAATTTCCAGGATTTGGCAGAGATTTAGTAAAACGATGTCTTCAGAATGGCCTAACAGTTTTTGCAGGATGCCGTCGTGCCATTGTATGCTTCTAAATTATCCAAACATTTCCTAATCATTTTTATTTGATTCGTCAGCTGTGGGAAAATAATTTCTCAAATTAAAGAAAAAGTTTTCATTTCGCTGCTTTACATGGAATAAAAAAATCGCTAATTAGAATTCATTTCATTCATTCAATATGTTTCATTTGAAAGTTTGCAGAGTGTAAAAGAATTAGAGGAAAGCTACAACTCAATCAGCCAAGGTCGATTGTATGCATTTCAAATGGATGTGACCGATGACGAGAGCGTTCGAAAATCGAGAGAAATTGTGGACAGGGTTTTAAAGCAAAAAAATCTCGGTTTGCATCTCTGTCATTTCTTCCCCATTCTTGTGGTCATTGAAATTGTTTCTTGAGAAAATCCAAAACGATCGTATCGCAGCGGTTACCAAATAAATATTTTATTTTACATTCATTCAAAAAATGCTTAAACCGAAACTGAAGAAATGGAATTTAGAGATTCTCATGAATTAATATTTTTTAATGAATCATTCTAATTAATCACTAGAGATTAAAATATTCAGGTAATTTCAAGCATTCTTTTTCAGTTTTTCACGCTCTAGTCAATAACGCCGGGGTGCGAGGTAATCTTTTTTACGACGACTTTTTGATTTTGGATGATTACAAAGAGGTATGGGATGTGAATTTGTGTGGCGTGATACGAGTAACACACGCATTCCGAGATCTTATCAAGAAGTCCAGGTGCTAAAAATACAAATTTTCTTTGCACACTTTGCGAATTATTGAATAACGATTGTGAAATTATGAATATTTTTAAGATTAAAATATTGAATAGTTGAAATTCTAAGAGCTTTCAACTGTCCTCGTACTCTCGCGTTAATTTTTCCTGCTTTAAAGATAATTTTTGAATTTTCAGACTTTCAGGTGTGGTTTCGCGAAAATTTATCGATTTTAAACTTTTAATAAGCTTTTTTGAATCTAATTGTTCTTTTTTAATTTAATTGTTTTGCTTAGAGTTGAATCATAATTGTGGTATGAGTCTATTTAATTCTTACTCCTAAAACAAATTTGCTTCATTCTTGCGAAAAACAAATCTCAGAGGTCGAATAGTGATATGCAGTAGTGCTAGCACATTGTTTCCGACAGCAGGCAATGGTCCTTATGCTTGCTCAAAGTTTGCCGTCCAATCCTATTGTATCATTATTAGGTAACAAATTACTCACTTTTTCATTTCGTTTTTAAGATCTTGAAGTCTTTAGGTGAAATTTGAAAATGTTTAGAAAATGATGAATTGAAGGCATGAATTGCAACCATTTGGTGTGGATGTGATAGAGATTGTTCCGGGAT